TTCGCTACCTTCATAATTCATTTAGTTTAATGTTGTGGCTCGTTTATGTTTGCTTATTTTATAACTTTGAGCTGAATTTTTATTATCAAACATTGATAAATTGATATATCGATAAAATCGATAAAATCGATAATATCGATTTGATTGAAAAATTTCGATTAAATATCGATTACAAAATTTTACAACATCGCCCATCACTAACTTGAAGATGGATCATAACCACTGAATTCAATTCGACTTGGATGTTTAATCCCGGAATCGTCATCAAAATCTTCTATGGAAATGAAAAGAGAATAGTCGAGTTTGGTTCATTTTATCATTCAATTCACACTGAGTAGTTAGTAAAAGTGCGGTATTGGAACACAACTTGTCCTTTTTGGCACACCAGATAGCTTTTTTTCAATTTTGTCCGCTCTGGCACAGCATACCATCTTTAGATGAGGTTAATTACCATCATACGGTTAGACGGGTACAAAGTATTCGCAATATGTGCTAGAGTGAGCTAGAGTGTTCAAAAAAGCTAATTTAGGTACATCGAAAGATGGTATGCTGTGCCAAAAAGGACAAGTTGTGTTCCAGTACCGGACTTTTACTAGCTACTACACTGTATTTTCACTCACTTTTGTAGTAATAAGTGATATTCAATCTTCCATTTATTTCAGTTGTCGCCCCTTTCATCACGGTTCCTCTTATGTTTCTATCTTCAACTGTTTTCTGTTGTCCAACAAATGAATTTGATTAAAAATTCTCATAACGTTGTTAACTTACCCAAACAAGTGAGGAATGATCAAGTCGATATAAAATTGAAGGTCCCATTAAGAGTATCAGATTAGTTACAGGTTCCTTGAGTCCAGGTAAAGTTTGATCCCACTTGTTATTGTAAGTAAATGGTAAACAATTTGTGCCTTTGAATCATGAAATAAATGAGAATTGAATATAATTTTATTTATTCCATCAATTCTTATTGTTGAACTCTTACCATGAATAACCAATCGTTCCTTGTTGAAATCAGAATCCGTATTATAATAGATGTTGTAGGAATCCTTTTCACCTGAGATCACAATGCCGCCTTTGATGGAAGCATCAGAAGCTGATATTGATTCTTGGATGAAATATTTATTACCAGCATTCTGACAAGACAGACGCAAAGCATTAAGAGTTAAAATAATGACAATTGGTTCAACTTACGGAATCAGTTAGAGTAGCGTTAATGTTAACGCTTGTGTGAGGTATGATTAATGGTAAATCCACCAAATCTATAGCACTTCCTATGTTCATTAGTAGTAGAATTAGAAATGGCTCGAGTTAATTTAATATTTTCGGTCAATTAATAAATATATTTTTCTTACCTGTTTTAATTGTTGAAAGTAAAATGATTACAATTGATAATATAAACAGCATTTTGTTTCTTTCGTTCAGCAGTGAAGATGACATGTTAAGACTTAATGATCAAACACAATGAATTTCAATTTACCTATGATATGGTATTTGTGAAAATGATGCCAACGTAAATTGAAACCATCTTTTAAATTCATTAAAATGCAATCGTAAAATCACAATAAACGCCTTAGATTATTTTTTTATTTTATTTAATAAATTCATATTTGGTTTGACAACAAAACAATATTTACTCAGTTTTTCTCATATCAACTCTAACCTATTGTTTACAATCAATTCTGCAGAATTTCTGCCGAATAAAAAGTTGCAGCATTCAACATTAACATCATCAGTTTTAGATCCACCATTAGTTCTGGATTTTTCATTGCATCAAAAAATTAGCGAGAATGACATTCTAATCAATATCGATTGTTATTAAATCTTTGACAACTCGAAGCTCAGTTGCATCAAAACTACAAATACCACCAGCAAACAATTTATTAATTATTGCTGAGATGTAATTATAATTACTTTCACACAGCACCCTGCATGCATACAGCTACCAGTAGAATTTAAGATCGGAAATTTTCATCTGGATAAGATAATTGGCAGGAATAACAAGCAAAACCCTTTAATAACTAACTTGTAAGACTGTCACATTCTTGTGTCCTGGCAAACATGGAATAAATTTAATTTTCATAAATTTTAATTGTCCGAAGTTTATTCATGATTTTGTCACAATTTTATCGAAATTAGTTCGAGATACAATCAGGAAAAAATTATCATTAATCTAAGATTACTTCTGCCTGAATTTAAAGCCTTGATTTATCTGCCTGGTAAAGTTAATGGCTGGCTTGACTTTTCTTTTAACAATTATTTTTTAAATCAATGATATAATTACTTTGACAATATAATACAATTTGAAAAGTGAAGAAGGAACCTTTTAAACTAATCAACTATTCTCATCATTATACACTTTTCATTCAATTCTGACCGCACCACTTCCCTCACATTTTCTATCAAATATTTTTTCAGTTTAAATAAATGTCTCCCAGTCAAAGGCATACACGCCAGAAAATGCGCACCGAATAAAAGTCTCAGATTTAGCGCAAAACTTGCGCTAATGCAATTGGATGCGCGCTAAGCGCTCGTCTAAATTTCTAGAAACAAAAAATTCCTCAACCTAGATACGAATCCTCTACCGATCACATTCAAATTAGTCCGATTCTCTAAACGCTGGGCTATAAGTTTACATTAAAAATGAATGGTTAAATTAATCTTATTAATTGTTTAAGCAGACATTGATAAATGAGATCATAGCGTTAAACGCAAAAAACGCATGACTCTGGCGTTTTTGTTTCATGCGTATCTAAATGAGCATGAAACGCAATTCAATGTAGACTTTTTTATTCGACTGGGCTATCAAAGTGAACATCTTATCGTATAATTTTAAGATCTTCATTCTTCTCTAACAGAAGAAATAAGTTTTCACTTTTTAAGCGGTTGAGACTCTTCATTCATCTCACATCTTTCAGTTACAATTGGAAAGCGAAGCCATTATCTTAAAGTTACTGTGAATTCAGTATGACGCCTTTCGATTCTTATGGACCGCAATCGATGATCGAACGACAAAAATACTAATTAAAGTCACAAAATTATTTGGCTGTAACAAATTATCTAATAAAATTGATGCAGACAATGATTTCAAATTATTTGTGGACAATAGTCAAGTTTACCTGTTACTTTCAACATTTAATGTTTATCAATTCAATTATTAGTGTTAGTAGATAACACTAATAGAATGCAAAAAGGCTGGAAAACTTGATATCAATTATAATTTGTCGGAATTCTATTCATAAGATGTGAACTTTTATTAGCGTTTCATTGCAAAGGCAACTGACTGACTAAAATTGTTATGTTTCTTAATTCCGATTCTTGATACCGATTCAAAAAGATAAATAATTAACACTATTTGGTTAAACGAGGTTCACTTTATGATGTATTAAGATTTATGATTATTCAATAATAATAAGTATCATGTACAATATTAAGTTTTCTGTTCATCTGTTAATTTACAAATAGATAGACTGATTTCAGTAGATGTGGATGTTGAAGTCGGTGTCGGTGTCGGTGTTGTAGTTGATGCAGATACTGAAGAAGATGTTGATGTTGATGCTGAAGATGTTGATGTTGACGATGACGATGATGTTGAGGTTGATGTAGATGATAGTGATGAAGATGTTGATGTTGAGGCTGAAGTTGATGTAGTTGTTGATGTAGATGGCGTTGGAGATGATGATGTAGGAGATGATGAGTTTTTCAGTGACTTTACCAAATGTGGATGAGGTAACGAACTATCATCATACAAAGATACTTCATAAATAACATCAGCTATTATAGAAGCTACTCCTTGATCAAGAATTTGTGAAAATACTAGAGATAAAAGTCTCTGTTGGTGAACTAATAACAAAGGTCTATTTTCAGGTATTCTGGCAAAATGTCGCAAACAAATAGCAGCTCGACGAACCATATCAAGAGTTGTACCCATTAATTCAGGATTATCACGAAGAGCATTTATTCCTTGGGTGTTAGCTACTTGTAATGCTGATTGTTCAGATTGTTCAATAAAACTGATCAATTGAGGAATCGCGTAACCAGTTAAAGCTATTGCACGGGCTATACTTGTATCAGCAGCAGCAAAATTGGTCAATAAAACAAGAGCAAATTCACGTAATGTTTGCTCCTCATTACGATTTAACATTTTTGCTAACATTAATAACATCTTCTCTAATCGACTCCATGGCGGTGTTGCTAATAATAAATCAACATTGGAATCAATTATCGATAATTTCATTAATGATTCCAAGGCAAGTCTTTTAGGTGAAAAGGATTGAACTGTGGTGGTTGGAAGATGATCTTGAGCATATGAAGATGGACATACAGCCCAATGTAATAAACCATCAAGAATATTTAAACTAATCTCTTCGGGATATGGATCAAGATCCAGTTGACATGAAATATTAGCTATTGTAACCAATGTATTTTCACGTAAAAGATGTATTGATTCAGCCCACCAAGGAGGATTCATTATTTCTTCATCGAGTTGATTATCTTTCGAACAAGCTGGTGATGATGATGATGACGATGATGAGTTTGTTATTGAGGAAATTGAAGAATTTTTCAACAAATTACTTTCATTACTATGTCCATCCAAACACTCATTCATTTTCCCATAATTAGGGTCAATAATTCCATTAGTTTGCTGATCTTCCTGTCCATTTGTTGTACTTGTTGATTTTTCCACTCCTTCACTCATTTTAGCAAAATTACGTTTCCTGCGGGCATGTGTATGATTCAATGTTATAAGTCGACTTAGTACCAACATTAAACCCGGGTGTTTACACATTTCGACATCGTTACCAGGCACAAATGATAAATTTCTAATTAAAGTTGAAATACAAAGACACCGTCGACTAATTGAATCATAATAATCCAAAACTGGACACAAAGGTGAATCTTCTTCACTATCAGCTTCTTCTTCAAGTTCATCGGAATCACAGGATGAAACTTTCTTAACAGAAGATTTGCCATTCAAGGAAAATTTAACTTCACTTGGTAAATTATCAACTGGCTTTTCAACTGGAGAAGGCATTTCTAATTTCTCTTTTTTTACAACAGGTTCTGGACAAGAAGATCCTAAGTTACAATCATCAACAGAATTTGATTTTTTGTTCACATCCTTTGTTTTTAATTTTTTATGGGATTTCTTTGATTTTTTCGTCCTAATAACTCTAACAAGCTTGAGATATTTTTCCTTTGGTTCAAAATGCGTCAAGATATGATCAGTAATTTCTCCATACCCTTTAGCCCAATGCTCTTTACCAACACGAAAACCGTTCTTTAAATAATCCCATTTCTTTTCATAGTCTGTCACAAATAAATGAGCTTCAGCATTTTCCATCCTAACTGTTTTACCATTACGTGATTTAAAGGTAAGGTCAAGAGATGATTTCAACATTTTAGTTTGTTGATCCATTTTGGGAATGTTGACATGAATTGCATGATCCATTTTAACAAAGTCTTTTGAAACATTGACAGTTTTTCTGATTTTGTTTCCATCAAGATATTTATCACCATCAACCATACCATCAACATTGTCATCTTCGCTTCCTTCACTATCAATGTCACTATCATCGTCAGAATTCATGTCAACTGCACTGCTTTCTTTATGTTTAATGATATCCTCTTCCTCGTCGTCATCATCAGATCCAACTTGATACCATTTTCTCGATCTTTTTTCTATGTGTGAAATTGTTTCAATATGCCCACTAACTTCAGTGTCTTTGAATAAACCATCAAACATGTCGTTTAAACATTTCTTATAATGTTCCAATAAAATTTCCAATAATCCTGGTAAATGTTGGAGTCCGAAATAAAGATAACTACTATCATCACTAACCAAAACTGCTAAAGTATCCAATGCCCAGGTACTTTCAGCGAGTAATCCTGATTTCAAACTCATTAAAAGTTTCCATGCTTCGACCGGTGATAAATCTTTACACGTTAACTTACGTCGTTTAGAATAATTTGCTTGAGTTGCCTCAACACTACCATGCGGAAAAACTAAATCTCTTTTCATTATCATTTGTCCATAAGGCATATGATGATGACCATGTTGTTGATGTGGATGAGGCATTAGATGTGAATTTTGTGGATGTTGGTGTTGATGAGATAATTGATGGGGATGTGCATGTCCGTGCCCGTATCCATGTGAAAGAGGAAGGGGTGAACCCGAGTTTGGAGCTCCCATGTGTGGACTTGGTGTTGGTGATCCAGGAAGACTTGAAGATAAAAGACGAGTTAAATGGGCTGAAGGAGCTTTTGGTGGCATTGGTGGACCTCCAGGCATTTGTCCTGCTGGATACATCCTATTTTGCGCCGCATTCATTTTATTCATTGGATGGTCCGGTGGATAAGAATAAGCTGTTTGAGGAGGAGGCGCTGTTGATAAATATCCAGGATGATTCATTCCTGGTGGTGGTACTTGACCTCCTGGTCCAGGTTGAGGGGGTTGAGGTGGTGGATACCTATTCATTGGCCAACCATTAGTTGCTCCTCCAGCTCCTGGTACAGGGCCAGGTACAGGACCAGGAATACCCTGTGATGGTGGAGGAATCGGTCCTCCATTATTTTGATCATTTCTTGGTTGATTATTTTCCCAACCAGGTTGACTATGTACATATGGAGGAGTTGTCATATTACCATGAGGTGGAGGGGGCTGTGATGTTGGAGGATGAGATGGTGGACCACCTGGATGGCCTCTGAAAGTTGCATCTCGATTCCATGGTTGATGAGGACCACCACCTTGAGGATAATTTGGTGTCATTGGTCTAGCACCAGGTCCAGGTCCAGGATATGGACCATATTGATTGGGCGGTCCATCTAAATGATGCACATAAAGATAAAATAGAATGGATTTATCATTGACGTAAAATAAAAGCTGTGACGAGCACGACAATTAAATTTAAATATGAAAAATTACCTTGAAATATCGAAGCTTGTTGAGGTGGAGTTGGAGTTTGTTGGTGCTGTGGTGGATGATGTTGAGATTGTTGTTCGGGTTTCATAAAGTCAGGGTGCCTTTTTGGATAAGCAGGATGACTCTGGGGATGTTGTGGAGTAGATCCAGGAGGATGATTCGGTCCTATTACATGACCACTGTTAGTTGGAGGATTTTGGTCATAAATATTATTTTCCCTAGATTCACCCATGAACCTTGGTGTTGGTCCATTATGTGGCGCTTTATTCATAGGACTCGAATATAATAAACTCTGATAATTGGAACTCTGTGAGAGAAAAAAGAAACATTTAGAATTAGTTTTAGAAAGAGCTTATTTTAGAAATATAAAAATTAAATAACAAAATTCACAAATTGAGGGTAAATTTTAACAAAACATACTTGAGGTTGATTAGATTTGGCAGCTAAAAGCCTTTGAGCTAGTGGACTATTATGGGTTGACATCTTAACAAGCAGGAGATCAAAATGCATTCGATAAAAGTGGAAATAATAAAAATAATAAAGAAATAAAATAAAATTATGAGTAAGATAATGAAAATAAAATT